GGCCCGGCTGCAGTTGTCAGCTGTCATCCAGAGTCAAAGTTAATCCAGGAAAACAGTAAAAATTAGTAATGTATAGTGCATTCCTCCAATCCATACGCTTTCCATTAGGTGATCTTCCATCCTCCTTAGCAGAGAAAGGAAAACCTGCCGATGGCAGTCCGCGTTTCTGACTCTGAAATGCAAGGATTGGTCGTGCCTGGAAATCCGATCTCGGCTCTCGCATTCCTGGACACACAGTCTATGCAGGGAATAGTCTCCCACCTTTAAATCCAGGCAGCAGATGCTGGCCATGTGCACAGCCTCTGCCTGCAAGCCCAGGAGCTCCTGGGGCAGCCTGGGGCCGCACTGAGGTGATGCAGCCCGGCATGCCCTTGCACCGGGGTCCCATGTGCTGGCCTGGGTCTCCCTCTGTCTGGGGGCCTCTCAAGGGTAATGACCTTGTCCGGTGTCACACCCAAACGTCATGCAAGTACAACAGCGGTAATGAGGTGCAGTTAATTCTTTCAAGAGATAACATTTTGACTTCTTTTATTCATAATCCTGCGAGGAAATTCCTCTAGATCCTCAGTGTCAAGAGGGTTAACAGTATTCTTAAACCAATAAAAAGAAAGTGAAACAGTCGGCTTTCTTAAGTAAGCCCTATCTTCAATCACCCCTACGCTTTAGTGGCTCAAGAACAACAGTTCGGTCATAAATGTTATACAAGGCAAACTCCATTGGTAGTTCTGTGCAGATGAAGAAGTGGAAAAGAAAAGACATTAATTTCTAGTTGTGACTGCACGTGCTAAGCGTGGCCTGGGCCCTTTGAGGTGCCATGAGCAGGTTGGGGCTGCGCTGTGTGAGATGAAGCTCCATGTGTGGAGCTGCAAAAAGGATGGGGTTCCCCCCCTCCAGCTCCTGCTCCAGAAAAAAAAATGGTTCAGAAAGCTCTGCTTTTGTTGCCATTAGGTCACCAGCTTGCAGGGATAACTCTAACTTTTTTTTTTCTTACTTTTGCAGAGAATGTGATCAATGGGCAGGACTACGAGGTGATGATGCAGATTGATTGCGAAGTGATGGACACCAGGATCCTCCACATCAAAAGTTCGTCTGTCCCTCCGTACCTCCGGGAGCAGCGCAGAAACCACACCAACACCTTCTACAGCGCGTCACCCTCCGTCCCGGAGACGCCCCATGCCCTGAGGGCTATTGTCAAATCCCTACAGTAGCTCCTGCGGCGTAGCGGCACGGCCCGCGCACCCGGCATGCAGCAGGTCCTGCTGTCAGACTGAGCCCCTTTGCTGGCGGGTCCCTGGGGCTCCTGGCACGTCGGCACAGCAAGGGCAGACCCGGCTCAGCCCGTTCCTGTGCCTGACCCTACCCAACAGCAGCGTCCTGCCCAGGGTTTGTACATCTCAGCTGGCCCCTTGGCAGGGAGAGGCCTGGGGGACCCACGCAGCGTGCGATGCCCGGTGCTGGGGGGGGGGGTGATGCACGCTGCTGCAGTCCTGGTGTCGGCATCAGCAGCTGGTGCCCGGGGCTGGCACTGGAGGGGCAATGGACTGTTCAAAATTGTGGGGTTGGTTTTGTGTCTTTTTTTTTTTGTGTGTATTCCTGTTAAACCATCTCCTGAGGTGGGGTGCTGAGCGCTGGCGTCCTGCTTAGAGACACCGTTGCGGAGGTTTGTGCTCAACAACAGGCTTCCCTCCCCGCTGTGCTCGGGGCAGCAAGAGGAGGCAGTGTCCAGCTCTGAGCTGCGGGTGCAGAGAGAGCCACAGCCCTGCGCCCCGGGAGCAGGAGCATCCCTTCTCTGCCAGAGTGGCTGTGCCTGCGCCAGACAGCCCTGCTCCTCATCACCCCCATGCACGCCACACACCTGCCCCAAATTCCTTCCCCGTGTGGTCTCCCTTGCTGGGAAGCAGCGGGCAGCTGCCCAGGGTTGCAGCAGGGCTGTGGGGCAGCCCAGCCCCAGCACCCAGCGGGGTGGTGGGAACCCACACTTACAGCCAAAACACTACGAGCAGAACGACCCACGTTGCCACGAAGCGTGGCACCGCTCCCGGCGCGAGGGGTCTCCCTGCAGGAAGGGTCCCATGGTCAGAGCCCCACAAGGAGGGCGCCTGGGTGGTACGGGACCTGGGCTGCCCTCCCAGGCAGTGCGCACGCACACACATATATCCACACACACACCCCCTCCTCGCTCGCCCACACACTGCTGCTGTCTTCCTCAGCCCACCGGCGGGTGCGTGGCAAAAGGCAGGGTCTTGGCCCAAGGGTGGTGATTTAGTGCAGCACATGCATTTCTGAAGACTGTACTGCTGTTGGGTTTGGGTTTGGGTTGGTTTTTTTTTTTTCCCCTCCTTCCTTCCCCCTGGTTTTTGTTTGGATTGTTTTTTGGGATTTTTTTGTGTGATATTTAATGGTTTTCACAGCTAACAGCCTACGGAGCAGCACTGCCGCTGCCGGGGCAGAGGAG